TGCGTGCGGTGTGTGAGAGCAGTGTGTAGGGTGTGTGTGTGTGTGTGTAGTGTGTGGCATGCGTGCAGTGTGTGAGAGCAGCGTGTAGGGTGTGTGTGTGTGTGTAGTGTGTGGCATGCGTGCGGTGTGTGAGAGCAGCGTGTAGGGTGTGTGTGTGTGTGTGTGTAGTGTGTGGCATGCGTGCGGTGTGTGAGAGCAGTGTGTAGGGGGTGTGTGTGTGCATGTGCAGTGTGTGGCATGGGTGCAGTGTGTGAGAGCAGTGTGTAGGGGGTGTGTGTGTGCGTGTGCAGTGTGTGGCATGCGTGCGGTATGTGAGAGCAGTGTGTAGGGGGTGTGTGTGCATGTGAGAGCAGTGTGTAGGGGGTGTGTAGTGTGTGGCATGCGTGCAGTGTGTGAGAGCAGTGTGTAGCGTGTGTGTGTTGTGCATGTGTAGTGTGTGGCATGCATGCAGTATGAGAGCAGCGTGTAGAGTGTGTGCGTGTGTGAGCGTGTGTGTGTAGAGTGTGGCATGTGTGCAGTGTGAGAGCAATGTGTAGAGTGTGCACATGCATGTCCGTGAGTGTGTAGTGTGGAGTATGTGTGCAGTGTGAGTGCAGTGTGCAGAGTGTGTGCGTGTGTCCATGAGTGTGTAGCACATGTGTAGTGTGTGGCACGTGTGTAGTGTGGCACGTGTGGAGTGTGTGAGAGCAGTGTAGAGTGTGTGCATGCGTGTCCATGAGTGTGTAGTTGGGGTGTGTGGAGTGTGTGTGACAGCAGTGTGTAGAATGCGTGCATGTCTGTGTTAGTGTGGCATGTGTGTAGTGTGTGGCACCTGTATAGTGTGTGAGAACAGTGTGTAGAGTGTGTGCATGCGTGTCCGTGAGTGTGTAGTGTGTGGCACGTGTGTAGGGTGTGAGAACAGTGTGTAGAGTGTGTGCATGCGTGTCCGTTAAGTGTGCAGTGCGGTGCGTGTGAGATATATGTGTACCGTGTGTGTTGTGGGTCGTGATGGGATGATAAACATGAAGCTAAGGGCATGTGTGGGAGCCTCCGGGGCCCTGGGGAGACCCCCACCCTGAGTCTCGGTCCGGGTAGACTTCCTGGAGGAGGTGACATCCAGCAGCACCAGGCCCGCGCGAGGCACTGCGGGTCCCCCTCTTCCTGCAGACACGGCGGGCAAGAGCGCAGAGCGGCGAGGTGGCCGCCCCGAGCCGCTCAGCTAGCCCGGTAGAGCAGGCCCTCAGCCGGAGCTATTTGCTTTAGCAACATCAAGGGTGCGCGGATAGAGGAAAACGTTGGGACCCCTCGGCCCACCAGGGCCGGCTGCTCCCATCCTCAGAGGACCCTGCAGCCGCAGGGCACGCCTGTGCGCCGGCGGGGCCCCGCCGTCCTAGGGCCCGCTCCCGGGGGCCGGGCGTTTTAATGCAGGGCGCCCCTGTGCTCCCCACGCCTGCCCCTGGGTTTCTCCAGCAAGGAGCCGCCTTGTTCTCTCTGCGGCCCTGCACCTGGCTCGGCCTGGGAAGGGATGTGCGCGCGCTCATCCATTCGTTCATTCATTCATTCAACAGAGAACTACTGAGCACCGACCGTGAGTGCCCGGCGGGGTCTAGGCCCAGGGTACATTGCAGTGAGTAAAACAGGCAGAGACCCCCGAACCCCAGGGGCCATGTTCTGGTGGGAGGTGACGGACACGAACAAGCGAATGAAAGAGCCCGTTAGAAGGTGAGGGAAGGACAGACGAGAAAGAGACGGGGAGGAACGTTTGCCCTGTGCGCAGGGCGACCGGGGACGGCGTCTATGGGCAGGCGACAGGTGAGTGAAGCCCTGGAGGAGGGGAGGTAGCAAGAGCCCTGCAGCCGCGGGCACAGAGTGAGGCGCTGTGTGCTGTGTGACTGCCGCGTCCCGGCCGAAGGTGGCACGCCGGGCGCTCCGGGACAGGCAAGCACCCGGGGACGGAGTGGTGTGAGCGGGGCTCCAGGAGGAGCTGAGGCCATCAGTCAGGAGGCAAAGCAACGTGCTCTGGAAGGCCCCCCTCCCAAACGCCCCGCTGGCAGTAAGTGGTCTGATTAGATCTGTCTGACCATGCACGTGAATGGCGAGGCGGCGCGGGGCCTGTGGTCCGGAAGCCAGTCGGCAGCCCCTGGCAGCTTACCTGTGAGCTTCTGCAGGTGCTGCTTCCTCTGCAGGTGCTCCTTTTGGTCCGGCAGGGAGCTGAAGAACTGCCTGCACGTCACGGTACAGCTCGCTGTTTCGTCCCCGAGGCAGACGGGTTCTGGTGAGCAGGGATGAGGCTCACGGATCGGCCTGCTCTGACATAACGCCAGCTAAAAAGGACGTTTGGGCTTTGTGTGGACCACGCCAGGTTCTGAGACTCCCTTTTCCACCTGTGAAATTTCAGCTCAAGACCCCATCACTGGGAGGGAGAAAATGCAAAGGGTACAACAGGCGGGTCTTGAAAACGGGTGTCGTTTGAGAGCTCATGCGACCAATTCCAAGTGTTGCTTGTTTTCAGAGTTTGCTTTGAAATCCTAAACCAAAATAAATTCTATGACTAAATAACAAAACATGTCCTTTTATCAACATATATTAATATATACATGAGTCTGTAGGTGCTTGTGTGTCTGTGGAATATTTCTAGAAGACCTGTCAGAAATAGGGCACGGGGATGCCCTGGGGTGCCGAGGTGGTGGCAGGTTGGCAAGGAAGCAAGCGAGGTTCCGGAACAGTGTGCTCACTGCTGCAGCGTCCCTGGGGGCGGGGACACAGGGGCTGGATGACATTGGACAAGGAGATAGATGCCAGGTGGTGGAAGGCCTTTTCATGCAGGCAACGGGGAGCCAGCGCAGGCTCCAGGGAGAGCATGGCCGGGTTGGTGGGAGAGTGCAGGCGCCTTCCATGGGGAAGGACTGCAGGCTGGAACCTCACTCAAGTGGCTCCTGCCACAGCAGCCCAGCCCGGGCCACCAAGGAAGTCCTGTGCCCTCTAAGCCCTCACATCACTTTCTAATGATAAAAGGTGGTGTACATAAAGCAAAATTTAAAGTTATTACAAGTGCATGTTGAAAAATTTTTTAAAAAGGAGAGGTATAAAGCTAAAAGTAAAAGGTATCCAACATCCCATTTCTGCTCATTATAGACAGCAGTTTCTTGTGCAGCTTTTCAGAAAATTTCATTGTAAACATATCTATCCCTTAAAATTCATTTTCAGTTATTCTTTATTTGCTTTGTCTTTGGGGGGGAGGGGGTTGAAACAGGGTCTCACTGTGTCACCCAGGCTGGAGAGCAGTGGCTCCATCATAGCTCAATGTAACCTCAAACTCCTGGGCTCGGCGATCCTCCTGCCTCAGCCTGAGTAGCTGGGACCACAGGCACCACCACCATGCCTGCCTAATATTTACATTTTTCGGAGACCAGATCTGGCTATGTTGACCAGGCTGGTCTCGAACCCCTGGCCTCAAGCAGTCCTCCCATCTCGGCTTCATTTGTTAACATATTATATTTTTCACTGTCAGTTAAAACTTAAAGGGGAAACACCTACAAGTTATACCCTAGTGTGCACGAACACCAAGGACTCCTTTCCCCACCTGCCCTGTCCTTGTCCCCACACGTCAGGCAGCGTCTTGAACTGCTCGCAGTTCCCCAAACACATGGCACTGCTCCCACCACAGGGCCTTTGCATGTCCTGTTTCTTCTGCCTGCAAAACCCTTTCTGTCCGTCCCTCTGCCCCACCCTGTCCAAGGCTCCCTCTGGAATCCCATTTATTCCTCATTAAGCATCATCCCCGGGTCGCCGTCCTGGGGGTCTTCTTGGCCTCCGCCGGGCAGACTCAGCTCCCACTCACTGGGGACCCGCCTCTGCTGCAGCGGTTCCTGGTGGATCACCTCGCACTCGCCCGCTCCTCTGGACCGGGCCCGGGACCTCAGTGCTCAGTCTCCTGCTGCCCACCGAGCTGGGCTCCATAAATACTCGTCCAAGGAACATGGAGAGAAAGGCCACACGCCAGCGACATGCAGTCCTGTGCCCAAAGGCAGTCCTCCCCGTGGCTGCCGAGGCCCATCACGAGCACGCTGGCGCAAAACGACAGAACGCATTCTCTCACGGCTCTGGAGGCCAGCGGTCCGGACTCAGCCTGCCTGGGCCAAGCCGCGGTGTCGGCAGGGCGGCACCTTCTTGTTAGGGACCGACCTTCCACAGCCCCACCGGACAGAAAAGCAGAGACATCGAGGATGCAATCACACAAGAGGAGGTTTATTTTCTGGCTAGCCAGGGTCCGAGCCCTCGAGCCCCAACGCAGTGGTCGCTCTCCTTGGGCAAGGACCCCAACCTGAATTGCGGGGTGCTTTTTATTCCCCCCCAAAGGGCCCTAGCAAGGCACAAACTAATTACGCGCTGGCCATGAGCTGACCTTTGAAGTGATTAATTTTCTTTGAATTCTGCGCGATCCCTGCGCATCCCACCTCCCTTTTGCCTTCCTTCACAGCCCAAGAGATAACTGGAGGTATGAGTATAAACAGATGTGTGCTGTTCGCTAATGGCCTCACCCTACTTCACACGAAGGGGGGGAAATTCCTTTCTTGTTGTGCCACTGAGAGGCTGCCGAAGGGCCATCGAGGCGCCCCACATTCTCTGAAGGCTCTAGGAGGATGGGTCCTTCGTCCTTTCCAGCCTCTTGTGGCGGCTGGGTCACCCCAATCTACCTCTGTGGTCACAGGGGCTTCCTCCCTCTGGGTCGACTCTGCCCTGCCTCCTTCCTGGACAGACACCTGTGACCACACAGCCCGTCTCAGGGCCCCCAACCATACTCACCCTCAGAGACCCGCTGCCTGCTCTGCCATCTAAGGTCACATTCACAGGGGCCAGGGGTTATGACGTGGTGTCTTTTGAGGAGGGACGATGTTTCAGTCTACCAGGCCAAATGAGGGTGACTTCTTTTTCCTCCCAAAATATTTACATCAATTGCTGAAGAGTCAAGGCCCTCACTCTCAAATTCATTTCCCGGGGTCCCTGTTCCTGATGAAGAGACAAAGGTTATCGGTTAAAACAGAACTTGTCTCAGAACAGGGCTCAGCTTACTTGGGGGCATCAATGAGAGGGCCAGAAACGCCCGCTTTGACAGCAAACATTGTCTCCCTGTCACCTGCTGGAGGGTCAACACCTTGACCTCAGCTAAGGCCTGAAAAACCCCCAAACCAAGAGGAAACACCAAGTACCTCTGATGTCAGTTTATACACACCTGGCTAGGCATAGCATGAAGATTAGAGAGAAACAAGAAAAAATGAAAACAGTTCAATTTTGAGCATGGCAGATTCTGTTTAATAGGTGATATTTTTTAAAAAGCATATTGTTATTATATTTTTATATAGTAAACTAAAAATTACTTTGTTTTAGATAAGGCAGTGACACATTTCATTTGTTTAAAAACCAAGCTGTGTTGGAGTGGCTTTCCTTGTAACACACCAGGGTTTTGCTGCTGATGATTTACAAACAATCACAAAAATAAGAAGGCCACAGGGCCTCAGCGTGTGTGAAGAATCAAGCAAGAGGAGGCGTCCTCAGCCAAACCTGGACAAATGGCATTTTGGGGGACAACGTGAGTAGGAAGGATGGCCGCTCTCTGGGCGCACGCTGCAGAGCTCACGCGCAGGCGCAGCACCTGCAGCAGAGCAGGCCTGCCCCGTGGTGCGTCCGAGCCGCTGCTAAGCCCTGCGCCCGGACGAAAGGTGCCCAGTCGATTATGTTTGTCTGCAGGCACTCGACGGAAAGCAAATGTTAGGTGGAAACCCGGCAAGCACAGTGGGCCTGGGCGGACCTGCCAATGGAACAGCTCTGCCCCTACGTTCTTGCAAATAAGTTTTATTAGCACACAGCCACACCCTTTGCTTACCCATTGTCTATGGCTGCTTTCCCGCTGCAAACGCAGAGTTGAATGGTTGTAACAGAGACCACATGGCCACAAAGCCTAACATACTCTCTATCCCTCTACAGGAAGAGCTTGCTGACCCCTGCTTTGTCTGAAGCCAGGGTTGGGGCGCTGTGCCCAGAGCAAAGGGAGGGCCACCAAGTGTGAGCACTTGCTGAGCACTTACCACGGGCCAGGCATGGGGTGCAGACCTCTCCATGGTTTAACCCATCAACTGCACCGAGCCTTGAGGAGAAGGTACTGTCACAGTGAAGGCGATCGCGTGGCGCCTGGGAAGCGGCGTGTCCAGAGCTGCAGTTGCCTCCCCTTTTCCAAGTACTAACAAGCCCCACTGGCCCAGCCCGCCTGTCTTCAGAGCCTCTGGAGCAGGCGCGAGATGCTCTGACCCCTCATCTGGCTCAGGAGGGGCTTCGTTCTGGCCCAAAGGAAGACCATAGCCAGCCGCTTTGGGCAGGGAGGGACCAGGTTTTTTAGGCAAGGCACCCGGCCTGAGTGGCAGAGGTGGTTCACACTGAGGGTCTCCACACACCCTCCGCAGTGTGGACCCCCTGGGGCCCGCGGGGGGGCAGTGCCCACCCACCTACTCACCGCACAGAGCCTGGTGGGTGGCGCGCCTGCGCAGGAAGGCTCGGTAAGCTGCTGAGCTCTGGTAGGCCTGCACCTTGTGGATGCAGCACTGCTTGTCCTGGTTGGCCTCACACGCACACTCTGGAAGAAGGTGCCGAGGTTGAGACTCTCCAGATCTGGGCTGGGGGGGCTGGGGCTGCTGGATGTCCTCTTGTCCAACCTCCCTGGGACTCTTTAGGTTGGTCCCAAGAAGCCACTGCTCAGCTTCTGCTTGTATATCTCCAGGGACGGGGACCTCACTACCTACAAGTAAGTTCATGCCTTGTTTGAATGGCATAGATGTTGCGAGTTTTCCTTACAGTCAACTGGATTCTGCCACCATCCTGTGGCTTCCACCATCCTGTAGGGTGTGGGCTGATGAGTGCAGAGAAGGCAGCACTGTCAGCTCCCTCTTAGGGGGCATTAGACTTCTATTCGATTATTGCTCATGCAAACATCAGCACTTACTCTGTGCAGGGCCCTGGTGACAGAGAGACAAATCAGACCCAGCCCCAGGCCTTGGGATGTCCCCAAGCTGCCCCATCTGCTACTGTCTCCCTCCAGCGGTGACGGCTACCTCCCCTCCTCCCCTAGTCAACTCCTACTCACCCTTCAAGACCCTTCACGGAACAATTCCCTGCTCTGAGCATCCTCCTCTGATGTGTCCAGGCGTGATTAGGCACTCTCATGCTGGGTTAGGCCTCCCGGAACCCCCAAGCCCCTGCCGCAGACACCCCACCCCACCCCAGACTGCATGTGTCTGCCCAGGGCCTAGACTATGAGCTCCGGGAGGGTGGGGACCTGGACCCACCTGTGGCTGCAGAGGCTGGCCCCCAGCTGGTGTTTCAGATGCTCACGGATGGCTGTTGGTAAACCCAGGTCAACCAGAGGTGGAGGTGAAAGTGTTCCCTGAGGGTACTTGCCATGCAAGTAACATTCACAACAATGGCTTACTTACGAACCTGGTCATTTGATATACATAACCATGTTAGGAAGTAAAAAGCTTTTTTCTAGGGAAAGCATTGGTGTATTGGGCTGGCCCTGGCACCTGGCCCCCTGCACAGGGAAGGACTTACTCGCTTTTTCTCTTGAGACAACTGAGCCCACTGTGCACCCAGCATCTTTGTTATTTCCGTAAAAGGCAGATCGGGGTGTGCGGCCCTCAGCTGACTTCTCTGCTCGTTCAGGAACGGCACATACCTGTGCCATAAAAAGAACATACACAAAGCTCTGAGCAAGCAGCTGGGAAGGAAGTCAGCAGCCGGGGCAGCTAGTTCCACTTCCTGGTTTTCTTACAAATAGTCACAGGTTTGCCCATATTGTTCAATATAACCAGAGAAATGGAGGTTAATTTAAGAGAGGAAAATACTTAAATGGCTGGTTTATCTAGAGTCTGATGAAAGGCCAAGAAACCAGACAAGGGTATCCCCACTGAGCAGGAGGTAATACGAAGACTGGATGGGCGTGTCTAGCAGGGGACACATCGCTTAACCCACCTAAGCCTCAGTTTCCCCCTCTGCATAATGGATGTAATGCCAGCTGCTCACAGGGCTGCATGTAGCCTAATGCTCCAGGTAGAGGTCCTCACACCCTCATGATTAAGGACTTGTTTACAGGGAGATGAAAAAAGGCTGTGGCCAAGCCAGTCTTCAGACCAAAAGGCCCAGCCGTATGAGTTATGGGAATACTGAAAAGAGACCCTCAACTCCGGAGCTGTGCGAGCCCTGAGGACAAAGGGAAAAGTGCACAAGCTTCAAGAGGGAGCAAGGTGACCCTCAGAGCAATGGCCAGTGGCTATTCTGTAGTACAAGAGGCAGGGGAAGGGGACCTCGAGCCTCAGTGAAGGTCACCCGGCTTGCTCAAACTTGCCCAAGGCCACAGAGCAGCTGTGTTCTCGAGCCTGGAATGGAAAGCAGGCCCAATGTCCCCAAACCCACCCCCTTCCTGGCAGTGACCCCACCTATTCTGTCCTTTCCCTTCCAGAGTCAAAACCTTATTACAGCACATAGAATGAAACAGCCTAGCCCACACTCCCATGGCGTGAGGGCCCTAAAAGAACAGATAAAGGCTAAGATGGGATCATGGCTGCCACAGGCCACGTGGTGAGCCCTGAACATGACTTTAACAAGGGGTCAGAGTAACCTCCCCACATCTTACCCTGTTGTAGGAGCCCAGGGAACGGAAAGATCCCTTGGGGTTTTCCTTTTCTTGCCTTTAGGCCAGCCCCCTTTCCTTTTCTGCAACAGAAATATCATATAGGAAAACCTCAAGATTGTCAGCATGACTGACCACATTCAGGTCACAGCATACAGCAACAGGACCATACACCAGCAGGGTCCTCTGAGCTTCACACAGATGGCCTCCAACCTCCCGGCATCTCTGCAGAACAGGAATGACCATCCCCTGCAGATGGGGGAGATGCAATGACTGTTGCAGCATTACCCAGCAGGCGCAGGAGCCAGGATCCTCCCTCCCATCCAGACTTCACACGGTCATTGGGTACATTCCAAAAAGCAACCCAAGGTTTCAGTCTCTCAGTTCCTAGTGGACAAGACGAAGCCTCAGCACGGGGTGCTCAGTGGGCAGAGGGTTGACATCTGAGTTGGACTGATGCTCCGCCCGGGTTCCCATCTCAGCTTTGCCACTTACCTGTTGTGTGCCTTTCGTGAACTATTAACAGCCCAGTGCCTTAGTTTCCCCACTTATAAAATGGGATCATAGTCCCCACCTCATGGTTTGCAGCGAGGATCGTGTGTGTTAATGTGCATGCAGCTCTGAGAACACAGCCGGGCGCCAGTAGGCGCTTAGCAATGGATGGCGGGCTGCCCTGACGGCACATGGAGTCCTCTCCCATGGAAGCCGGCTCACCGGCAGGAAGTCCAAGTGACAGACTCGCTCTTCACTTCACTCTTGCTTCATCAGCAGTGACGGGGTCCTCACTACAGTCAGGACCCAAGCCATGCTCGGAGCCTTGACGGCCGAATAACACACAGGCCCTGCCTCCAAGCTCACAGCTCAGCGGAGGAGGCTGACCGTATATAAAAACTGCAACAACTAATCACAAGGATTGGGGGTTATAGAGTGACAGTCTGAATGGCCCCGTACTCAGGGCTCACTTTTTCCTGAACCAAATACATACATGACAAAAACAGTGGTGAATAACAAAAATGTGGCCATAAAAACCCGTTTCGACTATTTTAGCTTTCAGTTTTCGATGCTCCCTCACGTGCCATCTCAGGCTTCCTGAGGCCAGGAGACAGAGCAAGTCAGCGGTCCAGCAGGCTGGCTGGCGGCCTTTCTCCATGCAGGCAGGATGTGCTAGGGGCCAAAGGACAGCGGTCTGGCCACACACAGGTCACGGCAGCACCTGGCGTCAGGGGCTTAAGGAGCAGGAGGGCAGAGCCCGGGCCCAGCCAAAGCAAAAAGCCAGGGCAGTGAGCACATGAGTTCATGAGAGAATGTTGCAAATGGAAGCCAGGCACCAGGCACACAGCAGGTGCTCGATGGCATTCATACTCATAGCTCACTCCTATGCACAGACTATGCAGATTTGTGGAACGTGTAGGACACTCTTTCAGCACCCTGGAGAGCTCCCAAGCCACTAGGTGGGTTCTTGCTTGGTCTAATAAATACAGCAAACAAGCACCATTTCTGTAGTTCGAGTTCCCCAGGGACTTTCATACGCACACATTCCTGAAGTGGAGTCTCACATTGCCCGCTGACATAAAAATTATCACCCCATGTTACGAGAAGACACTCGGAGAGATGTGGCCTGGCACTGAGCAGCAGCGTCGAGTCGAAGCACGGCGCCCTGGCTCCCATCAGAGCCAGCGCCTCCTGACTGAGGCCCAAGACTGTCTTGGGCCAAGGGGGATGCAGGCCAGGTCAGCTCTGCCCTAGACCTCAGTGGCCTCCTTCTCCTCTTTTCCTGCCAGGCCCTCTGCCGCAGCAGTGGGTCTTGTTGTCATTTGTTTAATTGGAGGGGATATTTTAATATATTTTATTGTAAGTTCCCATATGCTAGTATTATAAATAAAAAATGAAAACAAATGTGCTTATCATTTTACAGCTATTCGAGGCCCTTTGTTTCAGCTTCTTTATTTACAAGAAAATCTTTCCTGAGTGTTCTCTTAGTTTGCCCAGAAACCATGGTTACCAAGACAAAGGGACTTGGGCAGGCTGCAGAAATGTTTTTCTCTGAAGCTTTTTGTTCTTGTTGAATTTCTCATGCAGGATTTACACCAAATTGCCTCTGTCCTAAATACAGCCACGTAGACAGTGAGCTCATCATTAGCACAGGGTGTTACTATGTGGAGAACATTGCCCACACACTTGAGTACACCCATTAACAAGGAAAAGCAGAGGCAGAACATGACTGAGCAAGGAAAGACTGTTTTTTTTTTTTCTTAACGCCAGAAAATCAACAGATTGGCCAAGTTCAAAGGGAAAAATCCATTCTAATAGGATTATTAACCAGCATCGACCTTTTCCACTCAGATTGGAACAGACAGTGAATTTTGGATATCTGTTTTTGTAAATGGAATTTTGTTTTACAAAGAAAACCTCCTTTAGGAATCTGCAGGGTGTTACAGAAAGCACAGGAGCATGAGTGACAGCTCTGGGCTCCCTCCCAGCTGTGACACAGGTGACCTTGCAAGTCTGTCTACCTCGAAGCTCCTAACTGCAAAGCAACAAGAGGCAGTGACAGGAGTGGAGGAGCTAACGTTTGTAAAGGCCCACATGTGGCAGAACTCAACACATCTTCCCTCCCTCTCTTTATCAGAGTATAAAAACTCAAGTGCAAACCAATCAACAGGATTCCACACAGTTGCTGAGCAAGTCTCAAAGAGAAAAATATTGTAGTTTCTGCAATGTGTTATGCCATCCATCTGGGAACCAGACCCACACTGGTGTGATTATCTTCACCATGGTTAGCAAGTGGCCCGTGGCTGCTGTGGTTTTAGAAACACCTTCCCCAGCAAAGTCTAGGACCTGGCTATTTCCAAGTGGACAGGACTTCGTCAAGGGCATGGAGCTCGTGCCCATCTGAACAGTGCCAGTGTTGCTTACAAGGTGGCATGTGGTTCTAGACACCACGAGAAAGCCAAACTGTTAAAGGCTGGGTTCCTGCCTTTAGATATCACGGTCCTGACTTAAATTAGGATTCCAGTTCATTTATTTCTGAAATAAACTAACAGCATGCTATGGCCTAGACTGCCTCTCCCCTCCCCTCGAATCCATACGTTGAAGCCCTAGCCCCGAATACGGCCGTACCTGGAGACGAGGCTTCCAGAGGACTGAAGGGTGATGAGCTAGTAAGAGTGGGGCCATAGCCTGACAGGAAGGAAGAGCTTCCTCCACCCGTCAGGGCTCAGCGACAGGGTAGCCCTGCGCAAGCCAGGCAGGGCCTCGCGGTGCCTGCGGCGGGCACCCTGCTCCCAGCACCCTGCTCCCAGACTTCCGGCGCCAGAGCTATGAGAAACAAATTTCTGTGGTCTGGGCCACCCAGTCTATGGCATTCCCTATGGCAGCCCGAGCAGACTGACATGCCACAAAACAAGTGCTTTATTCTTTTTTAACAGAGGACTGTTAGAGAACAATGGCACCCCTGCCTGATTCCTCATCGCAACTGTAACCAGGCCTGCAGGTGCCAGCGGAGGGCCAGCGTGCCGGGCCACTGGGGAGGCTGGGGGCAGAGCACGGGCTCTGGAGCGGACTGGACTGGAGTCCCAGCGACTTCCTGGAGCGGCTGTGACACTCGAGCACACCCGCCCTCCTGTGCCCAGCGCTCCTTGCACGGCGGACACGCCGGTCCTGCCTCGGGAGCACCTGCCCTGACAGCTGCGCCTGACTCACGGCTCTGGCCCTGGGCCACACGAAGCATATACAGAATCTTACTTGTTGATGTTCTTATTGTTACAATTAATGTTGACAATTTAATTCTTAAAATGTGGATCAAATGAATAGAAGTCAATAAATTTCATTTTTCTATTTATGTATACCTTTGAATTACACTTGAAGTTTTTATTCTATTTTTGTAACAAAATACCGTGGCCCCAAGGAAAAGTTTCTGCCTTTCCA